GCATAATATATGCACAAATGTAATGTCTGAAGATGCTACGTGAGTTAAGAAATGAACTTAAGTTTGACCCTAATCCCTAATCCTCCTATGTGAATAGATAGAAAATGACATGACTAATAGTATCAAATAAATATATGATCGCAGCATCAGCCAAAATATTTATTTTATACGTTCATATTATATATTCAAGGTTTATAACAAGAAAAATTCACTAATAAAGGCATAAAGCCAACAATGAACATGATCCTCTATTGGTAAGTTGACATCATCGACAATGTTCAATAAATAAAAAGAAATTGCCTATAAGTACCCTGATGATTGCCATGTTAACAGAAAATCTCAATCAAAGGGGACCTCAAATATTTGAAAATGCCTCCCAAATTCTCATAAAAATTCAACACTCAAAAGTCACTAAAACCTAAGTTTTTTAAAATTGAAATAAAAATAACCAAATATGTAAAGCAAAATAGCTATTCACCCTCTGCAAGAGTTTGCTTAGGTGGATAAATTTAAAAATTATTATAGCTCGCAAGGAGAAATGTTGACTTCATTTTTGTATGAGGTGAAAGGGACCCATCCAAATCTCTAATGAATTGAATTGATGGTTAACAAGGCTCTAGGTGTGAACCATCTAAATTCTAGTTTAGGACTCAATCAATTCAAACCTCAAATAAATCTTGACCTCAAGTAAATCTAAATCTTAAATCAATCTAGATCTCAAATCAATTTAAACATTTATGAATCCATCTTTCTTTCAAATTTCAATCATATCTAGCCATTTATAGTCATCCATATGATCATTATTGATATGGATAATTCAAATTCGAGCATTCAAATCAAAAACTCAGTTCAAACCTAAAAATTTAGATTAAATCTAGAGTTGAATATATCTTTCAATCCAGCAAGTAGGGGTGTCAATTTCGGGTCACGGGTCGGGTTCAGGTCGAACGGCGGGCAGCGGGTCATTTCGGGTCATTTTCGGGTTTCCGGGTCAACCCGAACCCGACCCGGTTTTTCAAACGTGTCGAAAACTCGAACCCGAACCCGACCCAGTTCTGACCCGAACCCGAAATTTTTGAGTCGGGTCCGGGTCGGGTTGTCGTGTCGTGTCAAATATTGACAGCCCTACCAGCAAGAAACATATCTCAAAGTCTTCTATAAAGTTAAAGAGAATCTCTCCACCTTTCCAACAAGCCTAAAATCATCAAAATTCACCCACATGTTAGAAAGTTATCTTCATTTTAAATTAAATGATCAAACTTTGATTTCTCCCAAATCCCAATGCATAGAGCCTTAAAACTCTACAGATTGAAAGATTAGGGTATCTAGATCCTACGTTTCAAATTTTTCAAATTTGGGCTATCATATCAAAATTTATGGGAATTTTAAGTTTTAGTTCATTTTTGAATCTCAAAAAATCACGCTAACTAACCATCTAATCTTACGTGTATTCTGATCAGATAATACATATCACATCAAATGAATTAACTTTCTGACCGGATCGTGCATGTGATCTATATTTGATGATGTTGTGTGATCCTGATCGTCAATCCAATCCATACAGATTGGACAGTCTAGATCGCATGTTAACGTGACAAGTGGACAAACCACAACACACCACGTGCTGTGTGCATGCATCGAGTCACCACATGCATGCCACATGTCCATTCATTGGTGAGCTAGGTGTGTCATTTTTTAAAACATTTTTAATGCCAAGACTTCAAAAATTCATCAAAAATCCATTTTGTATCCAAATGTGATGTTCTTGAGCTCTTTAAAACTGTCTCGAGTCCAAGTTTATTTTAAAATTTAATTCGACTTATTTGAAACATTGTATAAAGAGTTATTAAGGTTTTAAGATAAAATGAATTTCTTTGACAACTCTCAGTTCAGTGATCTGGTTTAGCTCAAATTAATATGGATAGGATAAATTAAGGTGTGATACACATGCCATAAAAGTTTCAACTTTGTTTAATGGATGAATTATCGTGCATTGAATTTTGGGGTGAAATTTGACAACATTAAACTTAGTGATATTTCACACCGTAGGTTCAAATTTCACTAGATTTGGAGCTCATTAGGTCAATAAATTAGCTAAGTCAAAATTCAACACTATAATGAACCAAAAAAAATTCCAAAATTACAATAAATCAAATTTAACTAAAAAATTATAAATAATATATCAAACTGATTAAAATTCAACCCCCAACTTATTAAAATTAAAATCCCCTTGATTTGACATCAAATTCAAGTTTACTTCATTTTTTAATGAAAATTAATATTTAATTAATTAAAAATAAATAAAAATTTCAAAAAATTCTTAAAAACTTGACAACACCTTCGTAGGTTATTTCTAATCTTTGGAGGTGATTTCAAAAAGTTTGGAGTTCATTTGGATTTAAATCGTCAAATCCCTTTAATTAAACAATTTTTTAAAAAAATCAAATAAATATCCAAACTTTAAAAAATCGTAACTAATTCCAAAATTAAGCAAATTCAAAGGCATTGAAGTCCATTTAAAATCTAATGTTTATTAAAAATATCAAACTTTCAAAAATAATTCAAAATTAACAAAAGTCAACTTTTGGTCAACCTTAAGTCAAAATTTCAACTTAAACTTCAAAAATTCATAACTAAATGTAGAAAATTCCAAATCTAGTAAACTTTGAGTCTATTGACTCATCTTAAGGTCTAATATTTAAAAAAAATATTAAAATATTAGAAATCAATCTTAATCAAAAAGTCAATTTTTTAGTCATTTAATTAATGTATTTAAATAATTCAAATAATTCCATAAATTCAATATTTAATTTAAAATTTTAGAAAAATTTTATAAAACATTAATACCAGTAACTAATCATTCTAAATAAAATTTTTGTAGCCCGTCAAATCTTAATCAATTAAGTCATTCAATTAATATAAGTTGTTCATAGGTAATTTAGGCCTACGGGACTATTAAATTAGCACCAAAGAAAGTGAAATAAACTTCACGGCCCTATTTTAATAAAGATAGTAATCACTCAGTCCTCTACATATATTTTAAAATCAATTTTAAAATATTAATATTTATATTTTAATTAAATTTACTCTTAAGTCTTTCAACCAACTAGAACACGAAACAACTTTAACGATCTATCCTATATATGATAAATCAAAATCACACTGTCTACCTCACACACTTTAAATGATTTTCTATGACAACCAATTCTAGCTATATTTAAGCTAGGCTTGTATTTACTGTTGTGCTACTTATGTGTTGGATTTTTTAAGTTTTCACTACATGCTAATTACTACCACTAAATATGTGATTATTTATTTAAATTATATGTAATCTATATATTGATGTGATGGAAATTAGATTACCCTTAGGTTATGGATGATTTAAATATCAAAATAATCTTATGCATGTGGTCATGCTCGTACAAGGCTATAAAAATAAATGGGGCATAAAAAATTAAGCTTTTAAAAATTAACAAACTTTATGCAAGTGATATGCATTACTAAGCCCCCCTTTAAAACTAAAAGAGAACAGATAAGTGTGACTGTGTTGAGTATTTTAATATTCTATTATATAATTACTTGGGATTATTAAAATGTTAATTTCTCAGGATAATGTTGTAGATGGTTTGAGTCTAGATTTTTCTTTTAATTTTTAAATATAATTTGATTTAATTTGAGTTGTAATTAAGAGTTATAAAGATGATATTTGAGATGGGACATACATCCAATTTGAAATTCAAAGAGAAAGGAACAATCCTTAGGGGAGAGTTCTTTTCCATTTGGAGATCCAAATTTGGATGATTTTAAGTATCTAAGGAGAAAAGTAGACACCCTTTCATGGAGGAGTTTCTTTTTACTTGGATATCCATACCAGACAAATCCAAGGAGCCCATAGAAAGATGAAGAAGTGAAGATAAAAAAAATCTCAAAAGTCACTTGTGTCTTAATTAGGAGTAGAATCTGGATTATTGTTAGTAATACCCAAACACTTTACTTTCTGACAAATTCTGGGTTATAATATTAAGTGGCATTTGTCACATGGACACTATATTTGATTTATTTTAATTTTATGTAATTTATTTAATTTAATTATGCAGTAGAAATTGCATATCTTTTTTAACTTTTTTCAATTGCTTATCGCTTTTGTTTTAGCCTGTAATGATCGAAAGCTTGCGAGGGTACAATTAAAAAATTTTCTACTTTAATAAAATTAAAAGTTTTAAGATAACATAGAAACTCTAACAATTTTAAAAAGTAAGCTTGAGCTCACTTAGGATCACATGCATTCATATTATACTTTCTCTACCTTATTTGGCACCTCCCCGATTGTGGTTCTGCCAGGCCACCTAATCTATTAATGTGCAGCCCTATTAAGGGGATGTTGTGTAATCTTTAGGATAAAACCTTTTTTAAGCCTTCTTTAAAAATTGCTTCATATTTGATTTAAGCATTCATCGAGTCAACCAGTATTTATTGCTTTAGAAATAAATTTAAAAAGAGTACAAAAATTTAATGGCATTTTATTTCAAGCTTTATACCACCCTATATAAGTTAATGTGTCAATTAGGATCTACTCTAGATGTTGGCCCCAACTACTTAAATTTTAATTAAACATCCCCACCACTCTTTCATAAATGACATGACTCATGATTCCAAAGAGACTAGGAAGTTAAAGGGGCGATTTACAAGTCGCCCAAACAATGCACAATTTATCTATGTGGTCAGTTAAAGGGGAGATTTACAAGTCGCCCAAACAACGAGCGACTTGTTTAAGACGACTTTTATAACGGCTACTTGACACATCTCTGCCTAGTCAATCTAAGTCACCAATTAAGAGGGCGGTTATGACTACTTTTAATTTTTTTAGTATGCTTAATTACTTAATTAACTTCTTAATGGTGCTTAGAGTGAAATATTTGATTTAAAAGTTAAAACCACTCATGGACGCCATACTCACAAATCAAACCTCCGCAAACACATCCTTCCCACTTCTAATCCAGTATCTTACCTGAAGTAGCTTTCAGTTAAACCTAATGGTGGAGCCACCACTGCCAAACACACCAACTAACGGCGCAAATCCAGCTTCCTCCGGGCTCTAAGCGGCAGCGCCGTCCTAGAGTCCGCCTCGGCTAAATCGGTAATCAGTCCACCCCTATCGTCCATGAATCTCACTACCGTGATGCCAAGAAATGGAAAGTATCCTTATCGTCAGCCTCTGCTGCTGCTCTTTTGGCGAATTTAGGCGTGAGGCAACCTTCGAAGGCCCTCCCACTTACCTAAATCGGCCCCAGCGAACCCCACGATTACTCATCTGTCGCTGCTGACAGCAGGAATCTAAAAAACACACATGCCGTCGGGATCTGGAGGATTAGCAGGTAGGAAGGAAGTGGTGGTCACGGATGGCAGGTCCTTCAGTTCGAGCTGGTCCTAGAAGGTTGATTTTGAGCAGAAGTCTTCAACTTGAAATCCAATGTCAAAGAGGAGCCCGGGCATGTGGTTATCGGGGGAACTACGACAATAGTGCTCTGAGAGCCCATCCAATAGGAGGGATACAAGCGAGGCCACCGCCATTGCCCTTGAAGCAGAAGACCCTTCAGAGATGGACCGGGGGAATGGGGCAACTAGAACTGAAAGTTTCAGTTTGTGTTGGACGGTGTGGTTGAAATTGGCTGAATCAAATGGGCCTTGGTAGTTATGCTTCAGTTTTCGAGTTTTTTTTTTGGGGAATCAGTTTTCGAGTTAAATGAAGTCGATGAGGAGGTTTACCGTTACTTAAGTTAGAATACATAATTGACATGAGCGTCAATGCCCCTAGTTCTTGGTGAAAGATGTGCAGTGCCATCCAAAAGCTTAGCAATGGTCCTTCCTGAGTGCAGTGGAGTGAAAGCATGCTGTTTAGGGAATCATGGACTCCATCTCTAGGTTAGTAGCTTTTTCTCCTTTGATGGTTATCGTGACTAAAATTTGCTTTGATTTGATGCAAATAGAAACAAAGTGGCTACTTGGTTTGCTGAAAAAAAAAAGAAGCAAGCATAAAAGAAATATAATATGTTTTAAATGTTTTGGTGTTGTTTGAATAAGAGTAATAAATGTAGTTAATTGGTTTTTCAAATGAATACAATATAGGTTTCGTTTGGGATAAATTTCTTACTAATTTCTAAAGCAGTTTTTCAGTACAAAATTTTCTTAAATTATAAATTTTTGTACTCGCAAGCTGCTTTAGAGAACAACAAGAAAGCTTTCCCAAACGAAGCATAAGGCTTAATGATGGTGGCTGCTGGTTGTGATAGTTGTGGTTAGTGGCTAATGGCGCTAGACAACGAGCGGCTTTGGGCCATTGCGACAGTGGGCAGTGACTGACGGTGGTTGGCGATGGTGATGACGATTGACAACCGGGGATTGGTGGCGGTGTCTGTGGCTGTTGGAGGTGGTGGCAATTGGGGTGGCAATGACAAACAAATTATAATATATTAGGAATTTGACTAAATGTAATTGTTTTCAAATATGTCAAAATTGAACTAGATGATGGATTTCAAATACTTTAAAATTTTACTCTGCATTTTTTGTACTTCAAATCAAACATCAATATTTTCAAAACCTCTGCATTTTTTTAATATTTTATACTCATTTTACTTCAAACTAAATAACCTCAAAGTAAAAAAATATATATATTTGAAGTTCTTTTTGGATGATAGGCTTGATGTGAAACTGAATAAGTATAGTTAATTTCATTATATTTACAATGCAAGGACTTGGATTATTTTGCATCCATTTGGAATCACACAAACTTAAATTGCTTTCCCTTGCTTTATATATGATGCCTTGAGCAATTGATTTTTTTCCATTTTAATTTCCTTCTCACCATCATCATTAACCTTATCTCAACTATATTTCAAGTTTTCAACTATTTGTGGTCGATTGCAATGTAACCTTTTATTCAAATTATAATTATTGAAAGCCCTTTTACTTGTGAGAAAATTAAATTTAAGTTTTCTTAGATTTTTTTTTTCTTGCATTCTAGGAGTTGATTCTTGTCAAGTATCACATATCATGGCATGTTCATGTTGTATCTTTAGAATTCTGTGTCTGTTCATACTAAGATGGGCTAAACGTTCTTTTTAGATCCATAAATTAAGGAGGAAAGCCGTATCTTTCATATTGGATGGACTTATCCTAACCTCTTGTAAAAGCATTCCTTTTTCAATCCTAAAAAACTATTAAATTTGTTCTTTCACTTTACTTTCATCTTAGGTCATAAGAATGCTAACCATCACCTATATACCTTTGCTATTTATAGACCTTTTTGGTTAAAATATTATAAGATTTTTTTTATTTTTTTTAAATTTTAGCTATAATTCTTCTCCTTTGAAATACCTAACAATGGTTACTTGATTTTCTTGAAATCTCAAAATCAACCTACCTTTGAATCCCAAATTTGAGCTTTAGTTCTATGCATCGAAGTCCTTATTCCTTTATTGGAAACTAATACCATTCAAATATAGTTTTGGACAACCCATTTTTTTCTATTTGAAATTTGGATCATGTTAATGTTAATGTAATTGAATTTGAGGAGATGATAAACTCGCATTAGAGAATGGAGAGAATAGTTGAATGGGTCCAGTCGATTAAGATAGCATGCTAGAGTGGGTGATAAAATTTTGATTATCATCACCATTATCAGTATAGCCTTATCCTAAATTTTGCTGTTCTATTTTATCTGTCCTCATTATCTATTCTTTTTTTTTGGGTGTTATATTAAGTTTAACCTATTTTGCTCATATCCTCTTGTACAATTTCTATCCATGTTACTTTTGGTTTAGACTTCTTCCTTTGTAAATCTTCAAAAGCCATATCCTCTCTTGTGCCTTCCTTATCAAAAACCATAAATATGTCAGGAGAACTGCTAATAACCCTATATGTAATAGTATCTGAAAGTACTTGATTCTCTGATACCACTTGAAAGTACGAGATGCACCAAGAGGGAGGGTGAATTGGATATTTAATAATTTCTTAAAAAAAAAAATATTTTTATAACTTGATGTGGAAGAGAATTACATTCATGATAAAAGAGAAATTATTAATTTCACACACGCAGTTAATCACAACAAATATAAATGCGAAACGAAAGTGCGAAAATAATAAAAGAAAGAACACACCAGATTTATAGTTGTTCAGTCAAACATTGACCTACGTCCACTCCCCGGAGGCACCCTCTGAGTATTTCACTAAACCTTTAGTGATTATCCTTTAGCCTCCACAGCTAGGCGGAGAAGCCCTTATAAAATCACTTCCACCTTCTCTTGTGCGACGGAGGAGCCGGGTCCTTTGACACCAAAGAGATCTTCTTCTTCCCAAAACTTCCCTCAAGACGAACATTGAATCCGGTGGTACTAAAGTGCAAGCTCGCCTAAACAACCGTGTGAAATCCCCTCCATACTCCCTCGAAACCTTTTTCAAGGATTTTCTCCCTCTCTCAAACTCCACCATTTTCTCTCTCCCTTTCAAGTTCTCTCATCAAATTTTCTCCAGAAAAATAAAGCTTCAATGGATGCCAAAGACTCTTGCCAAGTCTTATGAGAAAGCTTAAATAGAGGGCTTAAAAAAATCCTAAAAATTCAATTCAGCCATCAAAGATCATACAGTACGATCTCAAGATCGTCCAGTACGATGTGTATAATTTGACCTGTTAGTATTGTACGATCACCGGTTAGTACTGTACAAATAGTACACTTTGTTTGTTCGTACTGTACGATCACCAGTTAATACAGTACGATCTGTTTAATTGAAATGCGGTTCATCCAGAACGAAACATAGGACGACCAAAATCGTCTTTATTAATCGTACAGTATGATCCAATTCGTACAGTACGATCAGAATATCAAATTTAAGCAGATTTAATTGACTAATCACATGATTAAATTCGACAAAGTTTTAAACATCATACAATACGATCAAAATCTTACAGTACGATTAGAACAACTTTTCAAATTCAAAATTTTGCCTAATTTAATAGACGGCGGGCTTTCTAATTATAACATATCGTCCAGTACGATTTGGTGTTCATACTGTACGATTAGTTAAATTCCAAAATAATTCTTTCAGAAAAAATAAAATATTTTAATTAATTTATGTAACACCAAATTGTACAGTACGATCCATATCGTACAATATGATGTACAAAAAAAATTAAAATATTTAAATTCAATTTTGCTTCTCCTATATATGTGTGCACGGTCACCAAGCTAACATACATCATTACAGGACTTGACTCAAGAAATGAAAATTATAGACTCATTTAGCATAACCTATTCTACCCAATCTTGAGCCATGAATCTTCAAAGAACGGTGCACGGTGTACCTGAAATATTAGTTAACACACAAACAAATATGCACTGCAAATAATAGGAGAAATGAAGAGTTAATCAATAATATTTTTTATCATCAAAATCATAAACTCGGAAGACTGAGTTGCAACAGTATGTGGTTTAGGACTTAGGATATAGCCTAGCCTTATCCAAGCCAAGGGATTGTGTGGTACAATTATTTAATGCATAACTTGACCTGTCTAGAGGGTCAAGTACTAGTAAGGTAATATTATCATAAGCAGCAACAACAACAAGAACAATATCAAACCTTTATCCCACTACGTGGGGTTGGCTACATGAATCCTTTTTCTCTATTGTGTCCTATTAAAAGTCAAATTCTAGTTTAAATCTAATAGAGAAAGATCATTTATAATATTTTCTAACCAAGTCTTTTTAAGTCTGCCTCTACCTTTCTTAACATAAGTCAAATCTAATACCTCTACTTTCCTAACTGGGTCATCGGAAAGCCGCCGTTTTATGTGACCAAACCATCTAAGGCGACTCTCTCTAATCTTTTCTACTGGAGCTACTCCAACCTTTTCACGTATATGCTCATTTCGTATCCTATCTCTAAGGGTAAAGCCACTCATCCACCTGAGCATCCTCATCTCTGCCACACTTAACTTAGTATTATGCTTCTCTTTTAATGGCCAACATTTGGCACCATAAAGCATTGTAGGCCTCACCACCACCTTATAGAATTTTCCCTTAAGTTTGAGGGGTACTTTTTTATCCCCATCTATTTCACCATCACAATTATCATAAGCAAGCATCCATAAAAAAATAATAGTAATTAGAAATGGGGAACTTCTTCCATTATATCATCATATTCGAGTTCAAATTTAGTTACATCAAGTTTTTGATTAAAATCAACATCAACAAGCTATAGAATATGCCTTGTTCTTTATTGTCCTCTATGAGGTATGTGAAATGAGCCTAACTCCTCAACTTAATGTGCCCTAGGAAGTCAAGTCACTGATGTGGTGTGGTGGAATTGGGTCAATTGAAGTGTTATCATTAGAAAAGTGGAGACATGCAATGCAACCATAACTACTAATATGTTATAAGGAAGAACCTGACACTCATCCTCTAAAATGTCTGAAGTCAAATTCATATGTCTGAGGTGAGCTAACATCAGGTGGGCATTTTATCATTGTCACTATCAAATCCAACTTAATGGAGACCTGGTTGTAGGAAGCTTAAGAAGGCCTTAACCTTGCCTAGTTTATCTCCGAGCCTGATATTTTCCTCTACCTTACCCACCCTTGCCTTCAATTGATCACTCTTCCCCCCTTTTGGGGCAGGTTGTATGAGTGGCAATGATGTGGCTTGCTGACTACTTTGTGAAGAGGAAGGAGGAGCTATCAATTTTTGAACGATAATACTTAGCATACTGATAAGTGCTTATCTGATTAACTAAAAAGGGATGGATATGGTACTCAATGCCAGCACATATGTACTTAGTGCATTGGCAAAGTGTAGACATTATTATCTCTTGCTTGTGTTGCATGCCTTCTATATGGGCTATGGACTAACATCCATCCTGAAATGTTGATT